TATTATTATTTTATTATTATTCTATAATATGAAATAATCAAATTTAATCTTTTAACTAATATAATAGTTAATATAATCATTAATAATAATAATAATAGTAATAATAATAATAATAGGCTTAAATATGTTTTTAGTCCCTCAAATTTAAGGCAAATCTATTTTTGGTCCCTCAAATTTAAAATTGTTGTTTTTAGTTCCCGAATTTCAATAAATCTTAATTTAGTCCTTATATTCAAATTTTATTAAGAAATTTATCAAACATTATTGCACAAAATCTACCTATTAGTGTCCCTATTAGTGAAAATATCACATTAAATCCGGTTAATATTGCATAATTGTCTTAATTAGTCACTTTCAAATATGTTATTGGTGACCTAATGGACTAAAACAAGATTTTTTAAAATTACAGGGACTAAAAACAATAGTTTTAAATTTGAGGGACCAAAAATAAATTTATCTTAAATTTGAGGGACTAAAAACATATTTAAGCCATAATATTATTATTATTATTATTGTTGTTGTTGCTGTTGTTGTTATTATTATTGTTGTTGTTGAAGAATTTAATTTCAAATTACCAACTACTTTATACAACAATTAATAATATTTCTTTTTATTTAATATTATTTTTGTATCTATCAATACTAGTTTTATGGTATTAATATTTATTATTTTACTATTTAATATTTTTATGTAACTATACTATTAATATTTAGGCTTAAATATATTTGTAGTCCCTCAAATTTAAGATAAATTTGTTTTTGATCCCTTAAATTTAATATTATTATTTTTAGTCCCTATAATTTTTCAAAAATCTTGTTTTAGTCCTTCAATTCACCTATAACATATATGAAAGTGACAAATTAAGATAATTATGCAATATCAACCGGATTTAATGTGATATTTTCACTAATAGAAACACTAATAAGTAGATTTTATGCAACAATATTTAATAAATTTTTGAGCAAAATTTGAATATAAGGACTAAAATAAGATTTTTTGAAATTACAAGGACTAAAAACAACAATTTTAAATTTGAGAGACCAAAAACAAATTTATCCTAAATTTAAGAGACTAAAAACATATTTAGGCCTAATATTTATTACTATACTATTCATAGTATTTATATTCAATATTTATAACTATACTATTCAGAATACTTGGATAATTTTATCTTAATGTCGATAAAAAAAATAGTCATTAAATTGGTTATCAAGACGAGAGAAAATAAAGAATGAAGTCTTCCATATAAAAAATTATGTATACTACAATTTCACATATCTTTCGTCTGCATTATGTGCTTTCATAATTTTTTTCATCTACATAAAAAATAAATATGCTTGATAGAAAAATTAAGATTTAGTGAAAAAGAAAAAGAATGTGCAAAAGTCAATAAAATTAAGATTTAGTGAAAAAGAAAAAGAATGTGCAAAAGTCAATAATTTCCGTACTTGAAGTCTTTGTGTTCTTTTATTTCTTTGAAATCTTTGCGTTTCGTAATTAGGCAATTTTGGATACTAATGAAAAATTGTCATTAAACAATATGTTCAAGGCTGCCAAATATATTATTATATCTAAAGCAAATCTTAAAAGTGATGTTTTTTTTAATTAATAATAATATATATTTAATAAAAAAGTAAAAATATTTTAGAGATGAGCCTTGAAAATAATAATTATATTCGCATATCTTTTATAAATAAACTTTTTAAAATGGATTTTTAAGAATGAAAATAGTAACTTTTAAGCTATAAAATTTTGAAAAATTATATAAATAGTAATATAGAATAATTTTGTAAAGGGACTTTAAGCGAGGACTTTGTTGACCTACTGTTTTTTCAAAATGTGAAAATAGATTGTGAGCAATTTGACAAGACTTTAAATGTATTATTTATGTATGTAATTTATTACTAAAAGAAAACAAGTCAACTTGATAGGTCCAAATACACAATTTTGTTTAGGAATTAAACCTATGCATTATTTTTTTTTTCTATAAATTGATGGCTACTTTTTCTTGAAAGACCAAAACAAAAGTCTGACATTGATACAAAATTCTGAGATAGATTACAAAAATTAGAGAAGAGTTATGGCAAAGAATGAAATTAAAACAATCAAAGTTGTGATTATGGTCATGATCATGATGGGCTTCGCGCAAGCTAATCACAATCCTCCATTACCTCAAATTGATCCAAACAATATGCTCTTTAAAGGCGACTTATGTTCTACTCTATGTACCATAAAATGTGCTTTTACAAGTTTTACTAACCCCCAATATAATCGATGCATTGATAATTGCATTGATATATGTTACAAAAAGCATGTTGTCTACAATTGTATTACTAGTTGCGGCTTGACTAAGTCCATTGATAACAACATCGGTATGCACTCTTTTGACTCTTTTTGATTTGCATAATTATTCTTTATATTATGTGATGTTCATTATATTGACTTTACATTTCAGATGCTCGTGGTCTTCCAACTCATGCCATGGACTCTTGCTTCCAAAAATGTTTAAACAAGTAATTATTTGTTACAAGAATGTTCAAATAAAAGGTTGATAGGAGAAATGAAATTCATTCATCAACATAATTGTCATAAGCAATTCTAATTAATGTTCTCTTCATATATCCAATTATTTCCCTTTCATTTTTCTGAAAGTTCCTTTCATATCGGAATACAATGATCAACACCTTTTCCCCCTTATGCCTACTAAATCTTTCTTATAATAATGCATTTTACATTATATAACTAAATGCGACACCTTTCTATCCGGATAAATAAACAAAGAATTTAATAATTTAAAAAAATAACCTTTCCTAAAATGATAATTTTCAAACCGTTAATACTCAGTAAAAAGGTTCATATTTCTTTTCAAAAGATTTATATAAAACATTGCAACATAGTGTGTGAAATTAAAACAAGGTACAAACAACCCATTTGAACAAAATTCCAACAATGAAACATGATGAGCGATAATCTAAATAATTTCACTAAAATACTAAAGTTATGTCTCTGCCTGGATGTCACACTAACCAGAGCAAAACCCTTGACAACCGAAGCTCTAAGCCTCTCTCCCATCAAATATATCTTCTTATAGCTGATCTATTCCTATAAATAGAAATCAACCTAAAGACAAGCACAAAAGCAAAGGGAGTGAGAGTACATCTCATCCATAAACAACATATATAAGACCTCTATCGCATCAAATGCAACCACTTGCACACCCGTGCAAATGTTGTAAATGACCAAATTATCTTTTTTATGTCTTCATAATATTTTGTAGCCTTAGATGTTACCTATCAAATGTCATTGGAATAACCTACAAAGAAGATTTAGAACTCAAGTTATGATCAAATTAGTGAGTAGAGGTTAGGTTGTCAGATTTATGCTGAAATGTTGCGGTTTCATAAATTTTAAAAATAGTAAATGACATAATTAACTCCTGAGGTTACCATAAAATTTGTAAATAATTATATTATTTTTTATAACAAAGCTAAGATCAACTTGATAACATGTATATAGTTCTAGATATCATATTTAGACCACTTGATGTCATAGAAGATTAAGTTATGAAAATGTAATTTGTGAATGGTGAGTTGCTTCATCCTATGAACATTTAATCTTAGAAATGTTTTGAGAAACTTATATCAATGGTTAATGTGATAACCTTCTGCACTAAATAATTACAAAGCTTAATATAAAAAATATACATAATAAGGAAATAACAAAATTAAAAAGCTTAATATAAAAAATTAATTTCTTTCGCCTTAACACTTTGTAAAAGAACTTTAATTAATTAATAAAAGTGAATCTTCACCCCAATGTCACGCTAATTAAAACAAAAACCTCCCATACAAGTGAAGCTCTAAGCTTCTCTTCCATCAAAACATCTCTCTATACCTGATCTATTCCTATAAATGGAGATTAGCCAAAAACAAGCAACATGAAGATAGAGAGTAAGAATACAACTCTACCATAAAGCAAAAGGATAGACACATACATTTAAAACATCAATAACATCTCACACACATGTAAGGATTCTTCTATACATCCAAAATAACCATTTCCATACATTCATTCATCAACCATACAAATTAACTCAATCATAAATTAAGACTCGTGTAATGAATGCTCCTAACTTAATATTGAAGTTAGACATAAAACACATAGAAGGGGGGTTGAATATGTGTGTGTGAGTACGAAGGAATTTTAAAAACATTTTCGCAGGAGTAATGTTCTTCGTCCAATGCACTTTTAAATACCAGACGATTATGCAGAGTTTGCTTAACATAAGGTCATTTCGTTTGAAAGATTTATCGTCTACTGAAGGAAAATGGGTCATATAACAATAATGATTAAAGCTCTTGCATTTTCCTTTTCAAGATAGTTTCATATAAGGATAAGCAGCAGATAAAACTTTTCAGTGTGATATATTTGTTAAAGAAAATTTACGTCTTTGTCTGAAAGATAGTTTTAATAAGAATAGACAGTAGACGAAGTTTTTCAACATGATTTGTCAATGGAGAAGGGTTTGCATCTGAAATATAAATAAAACAATGCAATCATTTTTATACTAGTTCGCTCAACTGAGCTACGTCCAGTCTCCTTCAACTGAAGGGTTCCACTAGATATGTAATTAAGTACATAGTGTTATCAACCACTTATGACTCGTTGACTTCACTCATCAACGCTAGTATCTTCTTATCAACCTCTTTAGGCTAGCAATGAGTGTTATGGACCACCCAGGTCAGAACCACTCTTGGTCCAAGTATTCTCGACCTCTTCAGGCCTTGAGTATTCTAGACCATCCCGGTCATGGCCACTCCTGGTCACGAGTATTCTCAACCACTCCTAGTTGGCTAGCTTCACTCACCAGCTCTAGTATTCTTAAACCACTTCTGGTTCCCCAAGTATTCTCGACCACTCTTGGCCCGCCAGCTTCACTCACTAGCGCTAGTATTCTTAAACCACTTCTAGCTCCCCAAGTATTCTCGACCACTCCTGGCCCAGCAGCTTCACTCAACAGCACTAGTATTCTTAAACCACTTTTGATTTCCCAAGTATTCTCGACCACTCCTGGCTCGCCAGCTTCATTCACTAGCGCTAGTATTCTCTTATCAGCCACTTCTGGCTAGTAGTGAGTATTCTCGACCACCTCCTGGCCCGTCGGCTTCACTCATCAATGCTAGTATATTCTTATCAGCCACTTTTGGCTAGTAGTGAGTATTCTTTGACTAGCCTCTCCAGGCTTTACAAGTATTCTTTACCTAGCCTCTTCATGCTTTACAATATTAGCTAGATAGGTTTGGTTTGAGTGTATGGTTTACTCTCACAAAGAGGATACATAGGTTTCTACACTGACTAAGGTATGCAACCTTAGTCTTTACAATGATTCAGTGTTTTGTTTACTCTCATAGAAAGGATACATAAGTTGGTACACTCATTAAAGTCATGTTCCTAAGATACATTTGTTTGGAACTCCTTAGTTTACAGAGATGAATACACTATGGCATATTTGACTCTATACGCTCTATCTCTGGTTTTTTTGTTTTGTGGGCTTGATATCTCTTGGTTAAGCATGCACACCTGGAAGCCAACCTTCCAAGGTTTGAGATAGTGATATATATATTGTCTTGTAGGATATGCCCGTTGCAAGTGTCCATTGAAGCAGTTGTAGTTGGTTTGATCTTCTCATTTAATGTTCAGATTCTTGCATTAAATGTTGCTTCCTATGATAGACCTTGCGTGAAGTATTCTTTGTCTTGGTAGTAGTAGTGTCTAAGTTTAGCAGAGACCTAGGAACCTTTTTTTCCTTTTCTGTTCTCATAGTTGTGGAATTTTGTCTTTGTCTGAAAAAGTAATGTACTTTTTCTGACACATGCATGCTTTTAGTTCTGCGCTTGATTTTCTCCTTTCTTCTTTTCTTCTCACAATTCCTATGACTTCGTGTGTTCCCCTATGAGTGTGGACGATATTCAAATTGTCCTATGAAACTTGATTTCTCAGGTGGTTGCGTGACAATTTTCGTTTGCGTCTAGTAGTCTATATGTAGCTCAAGTCTTAACCTTTGTCTGAGCATTTGTTATTAACGCATTGACTTTTCCTTTCGTCTGGTCAACTTGTATATGGTCAGACTTTCAAATTATTTTTGACCACCTTTCGTCTTGTTCTTGAATTGGCTTGTTGGATGCTTGTGTTGGCCTTTCGTCTGTCTTCTTGTATCATTTGATGCATATGCTTGTTCTTCATTTTACCTGTACTTATGTTCTTCTGAAACACTAACATACTTGTTAGATATAACCACGTGCATTATATTTGTCATACTCAAAACCTTTCTAGGAATTGCTTCGTCTGACTTAACAATCTCCCCCTTTTTGATGATGACAAATATAAATGATCAAATTGTTTTAGATAAGATTAAATCTCCTAAATCTGAGAAAATCATACTTTAGAGCAAGTACACATATTATCATATTACAACTCTCCCCCTTAGTATATGCTCTCCCCTTTTCTAGATTTCTTATCAATGACTGATTCAATGACTGATTTACTTTCCAATATTTGATTAAATTCTTTTCTTATTTTTCCCCCTTTGTAATCATCAAAAAGAAATAGATGAGTCGCTAAGGAAAGTGTGGAATTTATTAAGATGAAATAAATCAAGTTTATAACATAAAATAATAAGATATTTAGGACAATAAATTTGAAAGAGAATGGTGTATTGAATGGAATAATGAATTTGTACAAAAAGATCATTCAAAAGGAAGTACAATTTGTTTTTCTCCCCCTAACATGACTAGTTTTGCACATTTTGTCCTATCTGCCTCAATATAATCATTAAGACGGAGGTGGATCTTTGGAAAGCTTGGATGCAATCAGATTAAAAAGCTTTCAAACTTGTTATCTAGGTCTTTTCTGAACCTATTAAACTCCTCAACTGAGATGTATTGCTGTGCTGGTTTAGAAGTAGATGGAAGTACCTCCAGAGGAGCAGACACAGAGATTAGCTCAACAAAGATAGACTTAGACGTGTGTGATCCAGATTATGCGACTTCAGAAGGAGCATCCCAAGGCATAGGCATACGTAGTTTCCATGGTGGAATGTCCTTGCACCATTTATACTCTACCTTATGCCATGTGTCTGTGATCGCCTTCCATTCATTCTTGTATAAATCGAGATTGAATAGCGCAGAATGAATGAAGTATCTTTTACTGAGAATGTCAAGATCAGGCTCACGTCGTCTATGAATGAAGGCAGTAGATGTGTCGCTGAAGTGCATCACTTTGCATGGGGTCATCTAGTGATACCCATGCAGCATGAGTGTCTTGGCCTTTTCTTCGTCTGAGAGACCAGACGAACTAGCTTCCAGACTGCATTTGTGCATGAAGTTCTGATAGAACATCTCAACATCATCTTCAGTGTAGTTCAATGCTCTGGCAAGATCTTGTTACCAATCCAAGCTTACTCCTTTATAGTGGCAAACCTCAACTTTTGATCGTCTGGGCATCAGTTCCAGATGTAGGGTAGGTTCTTTCATCTTATTTTGATCAACTGGAGGATGTCAAGGGCAGATTTGGTCAGGATAGACATAAATTTGCGCTTCTGCTAGAGTGTATAGAGAGGTAG